AGCCCGGCGTCTAATTACAGGGGAGCCGGCGCCGCCGCCGCTGTGAGCACGGCTTTGCTGTGAACGGTGTCCCTCAGAGCCGGGCCGGACGGGGAGAGGGTTTGTTTGGGACCCTGCGGTGGTGTTCCCGGGATGGGTTTTGCAAGAAGGGTCGGTGTTTTCTGAGATCTCTCAACGCGGAGCCCCGTCTCAGCCTCGTCAAGCCCAAGCTGTGAACGGTGTCCCTCAGAGCCGGGCCGGACGGGGAGAGGGTTTGTTTGGGACCCTGCGGTGGTGTTCCCGGGATGGGTTTTGCAAGAAGGGTCGGTGTTTTCTGAGATCTCTCAACGCGGAGCCCCGTCTCAGCCTCGTCAAGCCGGAGCTTGTGCTTAGAGCTCTTTACGGAGCAGGGCGTTAGCTTAAAAACTCTGGGGAGGTAGAATCCAAAAAAACCCCGAAACCCAAGCTTTTGTGCTTTTGAGTGTGCGTGTGGCGGTATGGCTAGGGAAGAAGTCCTCCCTCTGCGAATCCTTCTCCAGCCGACGGAGGAGAAGGATCCCAATCCTGAGGATGAGAGACCCTGTGCAAGAGCGAGCAGTCTCAAAACCCTGACGGTCCGGCTGGATTGGATGGGATATACGCGGCTTCAGCCTCTCGCAAAATTGAGCCGCCAAGCAGGGCGGTATCTTTGTGATCTCAAAACTCGAAATACATTCTTCCGTCTTGCAGGTATCCAGAAAACATTACGCCAGAAACTGAAGAGGCGGAGCCCAAACCGATGGTCATTGGCACCAACAACGTTTTTGAAGTTGGGTGTTGTATCCTTGCTGCGCGGTGAGGCAGACCGTCCGATGCGCTGCGCTTTCGGGCCGGCACAAGGGGAAGCATGTGTGGGCTCTGTCGGGGTTTAACCAGCTCAGGGCTATTGAAGGTGCAGGGTGCTGGTTTGAAAATGGCGTCGGGGTTTAGCTTTTGAACTAAAAGCAAAACATTTTACGGTTTTCTTGAACACGGACCCGTAGATTCCCAGGCAATGAAGGTGGGAGATAACAACGTCATCGAATCCAAAGGTAAGTCTCAGCTTATCTCCTTGGCCCTTGTGAGATTTTGCTCTTGTAGACGCTGGGGACCGCGGAGGATTACATGGTGGTGTCTTGCTGGAGCTGAGGCCAAACGGCAGCTTGCCACAAAGCTGTGATTTTCACACAGAACTCACGTGTGTTACTGCCTTGGTGGGAGCTGGGCTGGGCCTGGCTCTGGCTCCGGGCGCTGAGCAGCTTGTGATCTTGATGTCTGGCGGTGCAGGGTTTAACCGCGGCGCGGGCACGACTCTCACAGGGGTTCCTCTCTCCCTCTGGCAGCATTTGTCGGCAGGAACGTGATCCTGACGAGCGGCTGCATCATCGGGGCCTGCTGTAACATCAACACCTACGAGGTGATCCCCGAAAACACCGTCATCTACGGGGCCGACTGCCTCCGCCGCGTCCAGACCGAGCGGCCGCAGGGGGGTGTG